GTTGAGCGAAAACTCGACGTCCATGCATTGGCATCGATCAATTTATGGGTCTGCCTCGAAGTCCAGGTTCAATGCACTGTTTTCGTCATCACCACATTTTTTAACGTTTGACTACTACACATTAATCAGTTTGATAAAATTTTGCCATATTTCTAATATTATTATATTTTTTTTTACTTGAAAAAAAGATCTTATTAATCATTCGCTTGTAAAATATGATTGGCAATTAAGGGTTTATGTTTCGTAAATATTAAAAAGGAATCTGACTATAAAATAATCCTTTTTTATCCCTGTCCAATGATTTCGAGAGCTTTTCGATTCATCCAAGGGGGCGATGTCAAAGGTCAGCGCATGTCTTCAGGGGGTGGGCTCGGTTGGCGAATCTAGAAAAATGCCACATGAAAACGGTGAGGCACAAAGACAATGGGCAGACGTCGACGTTGACTGCTTGTTAGGCTGAGCCCAAACAACTTAAAACAAACAAACCAAAATGCCGCAGCTACAAAAACCAAAACAAATAACGGGCAGCAAACAAACAATAACAAAAAAGCAAGCAAGAAATCGAACGTCTAGTAAACAGAAGCCAATTTACCCTCACAGACGGAAAGAAAGTCCAATAAGGGGATCTGATATAGTTCATGCGAGTGGATTGAAAGATTTATATCTTTGAAAAAACTTTTTAGAAATTCCAGGGATAAAAAAAACATTTCGCATTTGAAAGTATTAAAAAGGTTATTATTTGCGTTTATTGAGCAAGATTTCAATAAAACAAATGTTCTATCTGTATTATCATTGAAATTATAATTTCATTGAATTGTGTAATACATTTTATAGTTATAAATAAATATTTTAAAAACATTTAACAAGCCTTTCTTAAGATATTGGAATTCTGAATTATATACAATGCAACTTTTGAATTGTTAATCCTTTTTATTTAGGTAATTTAACATATCTTAAAGATTTTATATTATTTTGGATGACGCTCATCCGATTGTTTTATTCCAAAACCCCTACAAAATGCACTATACCTTTTTACCAGAGGTACGCAAGCAAATGCAAATGCAGGGATCTGATCATTTGTTGTTGCCTTTTTGGTGGCTGCTCTGTTGTCATTATTTATTTATGCCCAAAACGTTTCATTTTCATTTTCATTTGGCTGTGGCCAAAGGGAGTCATCGTAGTTGCCGTTGTTGCTTTTGCTGTTTCTGTTGGTCTGAAACCTGAAAACTGGGTTACTGGCGCCTGTTTCGGGCTACAAGATCGTGTCATGCGATTTCTATCTTTGTGTGACTACGAAAGCGACAACTGCAACGTTGTCGAACTCTGAAGAAGAAAAACCCCGAGTATCGAAACAGAAAGAGCCGAATCCCACTGCCAGCGGAGAATGAGATCGTTGGGTAGTTCATTTTGGGATTGCAACTTAAACTGGGTACTCGGTACTGGGTACTGCAACTGCAACTGCGACCGTTTTGAAAACAAAAGTAAAGTGTTTGCGCCTGCGGCGTGGGCAGGGAATTGCCATCGAAATGGGACATATAGCGAGTCGATCTCTGACTCACAAGCGCCAGTCCTCGAGGCGGTAGCTCGAGCCTTGGGAGTGGGTCATTCAAATCTATCACAGATGTTTTCCCCCAGTTTTGGGTTTTGGGGGTGACGGGCGTGTGAATAGGGCATTCAGTGTTCCTTCTTGTTTTTGTAAGCAGAGCGAGAAAAAAACTTCTGACGTCTATAATACAATATTTATTATTTATAACATTTATACTATTTATTTATATTTATAGTAATTTAATAATATTTCTGGGAAAATCCCCTCTAGCATCCTTAGTAATTTATTCAAAGTCTAGGCATTTCTCTCTGTGCATCTGGCAATGTGTGTGCCGGGGTCCTCAGCAGTCGCCCAACAAAGTAGTCACGAATTAGCGCAGTTCACATGGGAATTCAGCGCGGGGGTGGGGGGATTTAGGGGGCATTGGGTAGGGCTAGACGCTAGACACACATGGCTAAGAATATGCAGCGGCGGTCCCAGCTGTTGACACACTCACACGCTCGTAGGAATGTATTCTGTTGCAACAGCGGCTGGAGTTCGTTGCCTAAGTCTTTTGTTTGGCTGACGCATGAGCGAATGAACTCGAGTGGCTGAATGTCCGGGCTGATTTATGCGCCTGGCCGCTCCACAGTCGCACCGCCTACGCACTCGCACTCGCATTTCCATTTCCATTTCCCTATTAGTAGTTCCAACACCCCGAGAGCCCAGTTATCAACTGATAAGTAGCTTATGTAATGGCCCACGAAAATGGGTTAAAAGTCGCTCTGACAGTTTAATTTGACACTTTTTGGAACCTCCGTCTTGGGTTGTGATTTTCGTCTCACTCTCACTCTTTCCTGCTGTCTCCGCTTTTGTTGGAGAGCACGGATGACAGAGTGCTTTTTGTTTTGGTATTTTCTTTCATATTTGCTTAACAAGATTGTGTGTATTGAATTGTCATTTCTCTTGACAATTTAATTTGGATTATGCGGAGGCTACTGAACACCAGCACGCTGCAGCAGGGAGTGCATGTCGGATAAAAGGCAGAGGTGAATAAGATTGGGTCACCGACTTAATATAACAACAACCATAACAACAGAATTTTATTACCAACTTAATTTTTTAATACCTATTAAAATTGTTATTTTAAAAATCTTATTTTAAATCGCACAAATTAATTATTGAATAGATTGTACTGTAGGTAAATAATTAAATGTGTTGCCAATTAGAATTCTAAATTAACAAAATAATGTTGATTTAATTTTTTTAAATAGCATCAATGGTCAGTTTGTGTGATTTTTAAGGTGAGTGGTAGAGGGCTTTTGCTATCTGACTTTGGCTTGTGGCCCGGGCACGTCGGCCAACTGGCCGACCGGCAGAAACAAAAGGCTCTGGCTCCGTCGAAACGCATTGAAGAAGTCACCAGCAGCGGGCAGCCAAGGCCCGAAAGCCGAGAGCCAAAGATTATTAATGGCCGGCCTCCTCCTGCATTTCCGTCTTGACCCAGGTTATGCAAAATGTTGGCAAAAGGCCAAACGAAAGCAGCCGAAAAGTAGAAATGTTTGCCTAACAAATGATTGCTATTTGCAGCCAGCAGCAAGTGCGTTGCCGCATTAGCTGGAATGGAAATGAAAAGGAAAGACATTAATTGAAAATCCAAAAAACTGTGAATATGCGCATGTGCACAGAGCGCTGTTAACTCGACGGGCTCTGTTAAAAGTGGTCGAAAAATGGTAAACCAGAAATTGGTCAAAACGAAACTGTAGCAGGAAGCTCTGTTGAGGCATTGTCTTCGGCGATTTCTTAGATTTTATCGCCGCCTGTTGCATAAACTTATTGATTTGCCATGCTCGCTGCTGCTGCTGAGCTGCCTGAGCATATAAACAAATCAGCTGCTGCTTGCCCCAAACAACAATTGCATAAATCAATTTTACACAGAAAATTTGCTGTTTCTCTCCGTTATTCGAGCTTCGCCGGCCCACAGTGCGTATGAATGGCACATGTAAATTTGATTAAAAGCACGTTTTACCACAGACTAACAAGCGACAAGAGGTATAACCAGAAAATGAAGTGCTAAAATGCATTTTCTGGCTCGCTGCTAATTTCCACTGTTTTCGGCAAAAAAAGATGACGCCTCCACTTTTGATAAATGAAAGTAAAAGTACGAACACTTGCACTTCATAGATCATTAGCGGTGGTTACTTTTTGTGCGTGGCTGTTGCGTTCAATGAACCAAGTGGCCATGCCAAAGTCATTAAAAATAGAAAACAAAACGAAACGAAACGGTACGAAACGAAGCCCATCAAAACTTGTTCTTTCACTTTCAATGTCACGCCACAGAGGCCGCAAAAGACCTTCAACTTTTGGACCCGCTCACCCCTGTGGGGCACTGTTTCTTCCGCCTGGGAATTAATTGCGGCATAAAGCAAACATTTTGCGAGTCAATGTACGTAATTTGAAAATCGTGCCAAAATAGATGCCATAGCCAAACTCAATTTGTGGTAGATGAGAGGGCAGCAGGTGCAGGGGGGAAAACTGAACACTAAACACAGGTAACACCCCCGCGAAAATCCAGGCAGATATATGTCTGCTGCTGGTAGTATCCACTGTAGTCATTTGTCTGCACGTCGCTTTGTTGGATTGTCTATTTGTTTGCCAAAAAGTGCCATGAAGACAACTCGTTGTTGGCCGAAAGCAATTTCATTTGCTGCCGCCGCCGCTGCTGCAACAAATTACTATCATTGCTGTTAATAGTTCATTAAGTCACGGACGGGAGATGTGGATGTGGAAGCCATGTGGAATCACGGCTACACGGAACGTGAAACCGTAAAACTTAAAATCGAACTCCAATCCTCCGCAACGAACCTCAAGTGGCAGAATAATTGAGTGAACGGCAAGATAAACATTTCAATTTCGTTATTAAGTCATCAATTAGAGGAACCCAATTCGGACTGCCGGGTGATTCGGTTTTGATTTGAACTCCCGAGAGGCAAATTGCCTGCCATAAAAGTTTCGCAATTAAAACGCTGCAATAACATTAAACATTAAACTTCTTGGTTTTTGGGTTAGTAGTTGATCGTTGGGCTCGATTGCTTTATTGCTAGTCCTGGGATTGTTTAGGATTTAACAATATATATACTTTCTTAACAAGTACTAAAAAGAGGTGGAAGTGTAAATAATTACCTATTGAGGCATATGGTTACTTAAACTAATTTACAAAAACTTTTTTCATATAACTAGGAATAACATTTACAGAAATTTGTATTTTATTTAGATCGCTAATCTAGGTTTTAACTCATTTAATTTAGAAATTGTAAAAGTAAAATATTTTTTTATGTTTACCATAACTCAATATTTCCAAACACTAATGATAAAATACTTTTTTTTTAGATAAAAGAAAAATTTAAAGGTATATTTTAATCCCAAAATTTGTTTATATTTGATGACTCTAAATCAAATTAAAAAGCTATAACTCTTAATTTATAATAAACTCATTATAGCAAATATCGCAGCGTTCGAGTGTTTGATGGCTGGTCTCTGAGGATTTCAGGGAACTTCCTATCAATGGTGATGGTTTCATTTCTCTCCCAATTGTGCCTCCATACTTTTTTCGCATCACCCAAGGAGATGTTCTTCGAGAACTTAGAAGGGAGGCAGTGTAGGTGTGTTTGCCAGGACTACAGGATCTTAGCGAATGTAAAGTGGCTGTGGATCCCCTCAGGATTTCCAACCTGGCCAGAGCAGCCTCCAAATCGGAATCCTCATAGCCCTCCATTACCACCTGATCAGGTGACTGGGTAAAGGACTTTACACTAGGTGTGTTCAGACTGCTCAAAGGCTGAATTATCACATCTAAATTGCTGCTGTCTGAGGATTTGCCGCTGGAAACACGCGAAGCGGGTGGTGATGGCATCTTTGAGGTGGTAACCGCAGGGTCTTCTGTGTTTTGAGGTGTTTGAGGAGCAGAGGATAGATTTTGGTTTGTTGGGGTTCGAGTTACCTCACTCGGACTGATATCTCTCTGAGGTAGATGTTCCGAAGAAGTATGATGCTTTTTCGTTACATTTTCTGCTAGATCATGCTTTTCATTTGTTATTACAGGGCTTTTGTCTGCTTTATAGGAATCAAATTCAATATGCGACTGCTCTCTAGATAGTATTATTTCCTTTGCCAAAGATTCATTTCTTAGCGGGCTCTCATCTTTCTTAAAGGAATCAAATTCTATATAGGAGGGCTCTCTAGATCTAAAGACCTCTTTTGTTGAAGGTTTTTGTAATCCCATGGGTATTTTATTCGTTTTCAAGGACTTTAACTCCCTATAGGATGGTTCTCTGGAAGCTGTATTTATTGGTGGCCGAATTTCCTTAGATCCTCTTAAAGGACTCTTATGCGCCTTCATGGAATCGAACTCATTGAAAGATGGTTCTCTGGAGCGCACTATTTGCTTTGATAAGGGCTTGGAGATTCTTAATGGACTTTTATCGGCTCTGCGAGAATCAAGTTCCAGGTAAGACGACTCTCTGGAAGAACTTTTCTTGGAAGACTTTTCTCTTCTCGAATCCTTTGTTGGGGTTATGGGTTGTACTGCTCGGCGACTTCCAGTGCCTAGGAACTTCTCCCTCTCAGGTCGCAGGGACTGTGGAATGACCCCCGTGCTCATTCTGCGTCCTGCGTAACCGGGTTCCTCCGCCAAAGGAGTAGGTCTTCCTCTACCCCAACCGGAAATCCTTTCCGCAGGAGCTCTTTGGATACCAGAACCAATGCGAGTCGCCACCGGAAGACTGATGCGTTCGCGTTGGGGATTGAAATCGAAGGTCCTGGAGGCGGCATTCGAAAGTCTGGAACTGGAGCGGGAAATGCTGCCCGGCTGTTCGGAGCCCACGAACTTGGCGAACTCCCGCTGACCTCGACGAGTAGGGGCGGGTGTTATGTGACCACTGGACAGATCCGATTGGGAGGCACTCTGCGAGTTGCCACCGCTGAAGTGACCATCGTAGTGATTCGGCTTGTCCCGCAGACTCGTGTGATCCTGGTAAACGGAGAACTTGTTCTGGCTGTGGGCAAAACTTTCGTAGGGCTTGAACTTCTTGCTTTTGGCCAACTGATCCGCAAACTTCTCCCACTCGGTGGTACTGGGTCTCTGCTGCTCCTTATCCCTTTTATCCTTTCCCCTGCGACGAACTTTACGACTTCTGGAGGTTGGAGTGATTGAGTGTGTAGGGATTTGGGTGTGGAATAATGTGGGTGTTTTAGTAGCATTTCCTTTTTTTGTGGGGTGTGTAAATCGTTAAGTTAGTATGTGAGTATCTGTGTAAGGATGTGTTTTGCAAAACTTTAATTGATGAGTTTTTTAATTTATTAAATGTATTTGCTATTAAACTAATTTTTCCCATTTTTTAGTTAAATTTTTAAATTATTTTTTATTTTCCATGGTATTCATTAGATGGGAAAAAATTTATAAGGATTAAAAAATTCGATCTTATTTTAAACATTAAACATTATATTTTTTCCTAGTTTTGCAAAAACACACGAGTTCGGCTAACCGAACGAAATATTGATGGCCGTGTTAGATATTCAAAATATTACCACAAGACTTTGCTATTGATGTACTTGTTAGTTTGATTTGCTGAGGTCGCAAGTAAAGAAAGGCAGAGTATATGATATGTACATAGAAGTAGAGTAAGTTTATTTACAATTTACATACAAGTCAAGAAGAGAGGGAGAAAGACGAAAGTAATATGTTGATTAGGCTATAATAAATGTAGGTAAATATCGGGATACTACGACGAGAACTACGAATCATAAGCGAACGTTGCAGGTACAAACTAGGCGAAAACTTCGGGGTGCAGTGGCGCTACAGGTTACGGATTTGCGATGGGGCTACGGGGGTTACGGATTAGCGATGCATCAGGTGCTCTTTTTCTAGGCATACTTACTCCACGGGTGCGGTGGATCCGGATGCGGGAGCCTCGGCTGCCGGAGGAGCTGACTCTGTGGCAGGCGGGGCAGGGGCAGGTGCATCTGCCACCTGCGACACCTCGGCACTCAGCTCAACCATCTCCTCCAGCGTGGGCTTCGGACTGGGCGGACTCTCCTCCTCGTTTGCCAGAGCCCTTTCGATTTCCGGCTCCGGAGTCGAGGTCTTCAGGCTATCGGCATCATCTTCCTTTAGTTGGGGCGTTGGAGCCCGCGAAGTGCTCATGGTGGCCTCTCCCTGATCCGTTTTCGCATCGGATTCCTGCGGCTCCTCCAGATGCAGACCCTCCATCACCTTGTGCTTGGCCTCGTCCAGAGCCTGAGTGCCCTCCTTGAAGGCGTTGCCCAGCTCATTGGTAATTCCCGCCACCGCCGTGCCAACGGTCTCCTTGGCCGTGTCCAAAGTGGTAGTCAACGTCCCAGAAGCTTCTGCAAGGAGCAAGGTAAGGAAAGCACTTTCATTTGCCATTTTTCGAGAGGAGTGCCAGTGTGTAGTATCAAATAAAAACACCTCTTAACGAGGTAAAAAACTAGTGACGATCGCACCTTCGACATACAAAAGTTCTGATATCAACATTTGTGACGAAAAATTATTACACTCGTCATTAAATACACTTTCTAATATTTTCTCATTCGGTTCGCCCTAGCATACTATTCCAGCCTTTTAACCTTCACAGGCCGTTTCTATTGCAGAGTGCCGAATGAGAAAATTTTAGAAAGTGTAATTAATGACGAGTGTAATAATTGTTCGTCACAAATGTTGATATCAGAACTTTTGTATGTTGAAGGTGCGATCGTCACTAGTTTTTACCAAAATTTAAGGAATCTTAAGAGCTAAAAATTTTAAAGTTTTAAAGAAAATCGTTAGAGCTGTGTTTGAGAAAAATAAAATAAACTTAAAAATAAAGTTAAAAAAAAAATGGTTTTGTGCATAAGTTTTTAACTATTGCACATACATAAATAGTGGGGACGTTTATTGTACTTCAAAATACCTTTAACAAAAAGTAAATCACAAGTCTCTAGCTTTAGCTTCCCAAATTATGAGCTTACGAATAGTAATAGGATAGTAATAGGCTCTACTTATTGGTTTTAAAACTACTAGTAACTACTTTTTAATGTTTTATTATTTAAAAAAGTACTTCCCAATTTTAGTCAGCTTTAATTAATGGAGTTTGGCTCAGTGCACATGTACGTATAATATTTTTAAGTCAATATTTTGCTCTAATTCGTTGACGGCTCGGTCACGCAACCAAGTCGTTTTTCTTCATATGCGTTAAATAAATGTATAAAAATATGGTCGGGTGATGGCCATGGAGGCAGCTTTTACTTGCGACCCACTGCGGCAGAAAGGCGAAAAATCAGGCCGAAAGGTTCCGCGGCACGCATTGCGCTGGCCAATTGTCCTTTATTACGTGGCTTGTTATTATAATAATACGAAATGCGAGCACATTTATTACGTACATAGTACCTGGATGTATCGAATTTCTCTTTGGCATTAAGTGGGAATTTAGCTGCTTGTTGGTGGCCGTTAATTAACTGGATTTAATATTGATTGGAGCAAGAGGTCAAGGACTTCATCTTATCGACATACCAGTGCTTTGACTACTAACCAAAATTAGTTGTTACTAATTAAGCCTTAAATATTACCTTTAATCTTTTAATATATATAAGGATTGACATTTACCCGAAAAATCAAACTAATTTAAAACTTAGAAAATAAATATAGACCAAGGACTTAATTTCGCTGCATATTAAGTATACGCCCCGAATATCAAGTATACGCTCGCTGGCAGTTTGGAATTTCCCTTCGGCTGCACACTCTTAAATGTCATCTGCTGGCCAAAACCAACTAATGGTCAGCCCGGATTGGTAACACAAACACACACTCACACACCTTCTACGACGGCCTCGCCCTTCTGCTTGACATGGCTGGCGGCTTTCAGCATTTCGCTGCCCGCCGTTGCAACCATGGGAGTGCTGCTGGCACAGCCCATGACTTCTTCTCAATGCTCGCCAGACAACCGCCGAATCATGCCGATCGGACCGGGAATCGACCGGGAATTTGGATTGCTATAACAGCCGTCGAGGATTTATTAATATCGAATATGAATATGAATTTGGAATCAGAAATACGCCCGCCTTTGGTCACGAACTCAACGCAACTGAGCACTGACCCAAAACATTCGCTGCTAAAGTGAAGGGTCAGTTCGGCACTCGACCACCGTCGACAATCCCCTTTCATATCCCTGCCATTACCATTCGGTGGGCACGCAACAGGACCGGACCGTTCTGAGCTGGTCAAGACCCATGGAGCACTTCGAGCTCCACAGTTTGCATGTGCGTTTGCACTTCAAGTGAAGTCAAATTGTTGAGGTCATGCGCGTTGGGCGCACACTTACCATAGTCATAGTTAAAGTAGTTATAGGCCAGCGCTAAAAGGGTTCTAGGTCTGCACCGAAATAAGGTGGCATGTGCACGAGCAAGGGCTTAGACCAGGAAGTACCTGGTATTAAATAGTTTTATAATAAACATACCAATAAATATAGTATTTAAAGGAACTTTCAAATATTAAACCCACTTTAAATAAATTCTTCTAAACATATAGACAAGGAAATAATAATTATGTATTTCGTCATTTTGATGATGTTCTTTTAAGTTATAGGGCAATAAATAAAGTACTTTATGGAACTTTACAAAAATAATCAAAATTTTGATATATTTGGATTTTAAAATTATATAATTTTTATTTTCGCCATTTTGGCTATGTACTTTTAAGTTCTAATGAAATTCGACATCTTCAAGACATAGAAAAGATGAGTAAATCATTGACTTCTATTGTGTTCTGATCTTGAGAAGTTCTCCAAGACAGGTATACCCTCGTAACCTATGAATACCCGGCACAAAAATGAAAACAAAATAAGGGAAAGTGAAAAACAAGGTTCTAGATTTGTAATTCTGAGTGTGAGTGTGTGTTTTTGGTGTGTGTGGGGTAGCGTGTCCAGTTACGCTTCGTTCGCCCGATAGGTGGCGTGCATTCGATTCGCCAGCTGACGTGGGCTTGTGTGTTTGTCTGTTGGTCAATAAAAGCTCCACTCGGTTATTATTTTTAGAACGCTGCACGATGTTCAATTGTTGCTCTAATTTCCATATTCCATATGGGTTTTTGCCCGTGCCCATGAATGAAGCGAAATGTCCGGCCGGGTTGACAGTTTCAATCAGATAAGAGAGCTGCACTATCGATTCGGCATATTCTGTCGTATGCAAATGCTGATTGGGCTAGATTTCGTTGAGACCCACACCGCTCAGAGATGATCGTTGAGGGCCCTTCGAAACGATTGATTTTTGATTTATTTTGACTGAACACTTTTTGGCCATACTTTTTTTTCTGCAATCGATTGGCTCTCGGGGCGATGAATGCCTATTTCTGCCGTTCGGTGATTTATGTCAGTCAAGCAGTGACAGCGCTTTTCATGAGCCAATAAAGTTGTCCATGTCGCTTTGTCATATTCATATATCATGGCCGTACACCCGGCGACTTATGTCACATTCACATGGTCCACGAGAAACCCCCAATACAAAATCCAAAACTGGAGTATCGCATCGAGCAGAGCCTGCGCATAAACGAGGCCTAAGTGCGCGATCGAGAGACGTCGTTCGAGATGGTGACGGTGACAAAACACAATTTGGCCGGGCCAAACAAAACAGACCAACAGCCCAACAGACAGACAGACAACATACAAGTACAAACAAACCAGCTCGAAAAGTCGCATATAAATCAGCACACGCAGCTGGTTCATTAGACTCTCCACTCGGGCTCTTGGCGCTGCCATTTGGTTTGACATTAATTACATAAGCTAAGCGATGCTTAATTATGTGCTCAACAAAAGACCAAAAGTGCTCGAGACCCAGTCGAGCAATCTCGTGATGTAATGGCCTCCCCCATGCGAAAGTTTCGCCTCTTGATACCCTGCAAGTGTGGCGATTTCAGAAGGCTAATTAGTTTACTGATGATCTTTAAATGGCAAGTGGGTTCTCTTTGGAAATCCAATAGCTTATATGGTAATTAAGTTCTTCGTATGAATAAATATTTTAAATTTTATTTTACCAATTTTATGTTAAAAGAATAAGTTGACAATATAGTATTTAGGTACTTACCAAAGCCTTAAACATTTTATGTTTTCTTTAATATTATAATTTGAGCAAAGGTTTTTAATACTTAAATCTTAAAAAGTGTTGAGCATGTGTTATTTATAAAGCTGCCCTAATCTTTATGGCTTCGCCCTTCTTTATTTCTTAGCATAGCCCATGTCTCATAAATATGCTGTTGCAATAAAAATATACATACCAAATGTTGGGTCAAAGAAGTCAAAATTAAAGAAGAAAGGTAAGAAGATGTCTTTCTATAAGGGTGGAATACATATCTAGCAAGTGTACGTAAATGTTTTAGGCTGTGTGGCATTAAAATTAGTGCAACAGGTAATTATTGGTGAAAAAAAATAAGAGTGTATTATAATGTATGCGCTGTACCTATTGTATTGTATTTAATTACGCTTAATTAAAAATCACTGCTTGATTTTCCGGATGATTTAGCGTCTTACTTTTGTATGACTTTGCCAGCTAATATAAATAAGTTTTAAGACTACCGCATTTGACAGCTGCTGAAGGATCAATGCGATCAAGTTCAATGGATGACGGAACCTCATTAATTCTCGCAGCCCAATGCTAATGATAATACCATCAGTAAAAATAGCTTCCCTCCTTACATCCCCCTCTAGTGACATTTGTGCGCTCTCGCACTAATTTGCTTTATGATATCAATGAAATATCTGAATATATATACATATCCACCCATAAACTTATATATATCTTTGGAGACACGGAAAATCTGTGTGTTCCCTTCGAGAAAAGTCTGAATTTCTTTGGTTCCTCAGTCTTGCCTGGGCTCTCGACAGAAACGGTGCGTTTTTCTAAAATAAAAAGTATCTATATTTTGTTCTCCATAAAACTACGAAAATATATATAGAGATTGTTATTTCATTTTTTAAAACAATTAAAGTAATTGTATACTCTGTGGACTCTTTTTGCCAAAAGTTCTTGTGTTTGGTGTAAAACTGTCCCTTTACTTCGATGAAATGCTTGTGAATATATGTAAAAAGTGTTGAACATGTGCTATTTATAAAGCCGCCTTAATCTTAATGGCCGTGCTCCTCTATATTTCTATACATATATAGCTCTTGTCCCATAAATATGTTGGAGAACAAATAAAAAAAGAAACGAATGACGTGAAATTTTATTAATGTCTTCTTTTTTATAAAATTCGAACCGAAGAAGTCATCGGAAGTGAGAGTGGAAAGGTGTGAAGAAGCTGTTCTACAAGGATCGCATATAGGGCTGCAGAATGTGGGCGGCGAAATATGTTTTATGCGCGCTAACATGCGTTGCATTTGCTTCAGGTAAGTGGGGGCGGACATCTGAAATATTTCATTTGAGGAAAGGGAAATTTATTGGATAATTTACAAGGAATTTTGGGATTATAAAAGATTATTATGGTTTCGACTGTGTATCTTCAGATTATATCGTTCTACAATTAGAATGGAATTCATCGTTTGGGTGTTACAAAACTTTTTTCCTTTTTAAATAAAGTTGTTCAAAAATGAAATCTTATTCATTTATGTAGGTATAGAATAAATTTTAATTAAATTCGCTTTTTGGTACATTTTAATGTCAATTCCAATTTAATTTTATCAACTGCTGAAAATACATGATTCATTTCAAATGTGTTCTTAAAATTAATTCAATGAATACATGTTTATTTTTTTTAAAATTTGACCATAAAATCTATCTATTCATTTTTGTAAGACAACTTTTCCTTTTTTAAAATTTTGATCTATACATATAACCATAAAAACGTCCACAAAATGGCCACAAAAACCATTTGTCTTAATAGCTAATGGAACACATATGTACATTTTTATGGCACGTTCTGCCGATAAAATTATTGTCATATAGCTATGACTCGGGCCACCTTTTACCTAAACAAAATATTACTCATCCATTCACCGGCCGGCTTCCTTGAAAAATGAAAAATATACAAAAAATACGATCGTAAATCAAAGCAAAGAAAATCCCAAAATGAAAACTTTAACTGTCAAAAAAAAGCGGGAAAAGTGAGATGGCAGTGAAAAATCTTTTGGCAACGATTCAACTGATTGATTCACCTAGTTTTTATGGGTTTCCCCCTAGGTAGTCGAAAGTCTAGAACTGTATTTGAGGGTCTTTTATTATATCTGGCTGAGTGAGAACAGCTGTTGGTGGTATTAAGCAACACATAAATTGTTTTATTGCTGACGGATTATGGTCAGAAAGTACTATAGCGGATATAAAAGCTTTTTGTGTATAAGTTTTGGGGATTGGTTTTGTATTTTAGAACTTATTATAAAAGAAAGTGTTTTTAAGACTGTATGTTCTTTTTTAATTAGCCATTTAATTTTACTGCCCTAAACTTAATCCAGATTTCTTATAAATTAATTTTCTAATCCCTTTTTAGCTTCTCCTAGTGCGGAGAGGAGAAGGAAAAATATTATGAGTATTCCTGAGGATCCCAAAGTTCCTCTGTCCCTGGCGCCAACTTTGGACATGAGCTGCTCGGCGGCCAATGTCCTTCCGCCGGAGATCAATCATGGAAAGGTGTCCCTCTTCGACCGACGCCGAAGGGGTACCAAGGTTTTCCTAGTGGCCTTTTTCATCTGCAACGAGAGCTACGAATTCGAAAACGGAAACACTCAAATGTTTTGCTCGAACCAGAAGTGGGTGGGTGAAATACCAACCTGCATTCCCGAGCCGGATTATTCAGAGCCTGAGGAGGAAGTTGAGGAAGAGGTTGGAGAGGATGACTTAGATGAGTATGAGACGATCCCCAATGATGATATCGAGGAAAGCGAGCTTGATGTAAATGAAGAGCAAGTGGGAAATGATAGGGAACCACCACCGCCACCTCCGCCACCGGTAAAGGAAGATGACTTGTCTCTAAGAGCAGCCAATTCCAAACCAGAACCGGAAATCGTTATTAATATTCCATCGGAACTTCCTCAAGAGTCGAGTGTTTCAACTTTCCAGGCCGAAACTCCCCTGAAATCAGAAAACGAAACTTTTGTTGAAATTTCAAATGAATCTGAACCTACGAATACCGGAAACGAGACCCCCCGGAAACCCACAAAAGATCCCTATGAGCCGACCTTCTTGGACAACAACTGTGGGGAGGATAATGGCGGATGTGAGCAAATATGCCGGCGATTGCTCTACCCAGATGAGAACCAGCCCATACAGAAATGTGATTGCCAAACGGGCTACACTCTGAATCCCAGCGATTATGCCACCTGTCTTGGTGGGTGTTTGCTATTTTTTGAACATATTAAACATGTTACAAACTGATATAACCTTTTTTCAGATATTGACGAATGTCAGGAGTCGAATGGCGGTTGCTCGGAAATTTGCGAAAACTTGCCTGGGGAATACAAATGCAGCTGTCAGGCTGGTTATTATATCGATGCTTCTGGAAAATCCTGCGAGGGTATGTAGAAGAAAATATGGGAAATATTTAAAGGATAAAGCAAATCATTTGTATTTATCTCATTATTTATAGACATCAATGAATGCGCCAACCCTGAGCTGTCTTTGGACTGCCAAGGTGATTGCGAGAATCTTCCCGGTTCCTATCAGTGTGTGAAAAAAGTGGAAAAGACCGACTCCACTTTGGTGGTGGAGACTCCCGCCGAGGAGGACAACGATATTCCGGTGGAAGTTTCCAAAATCCCTCCTGCGAAGAAGTCATGTAATCCCGGCTTTGAACTTTCTGTCGATGGTAGTGAGTGTCTGGATATCAACGAGTGCGAGGTGAAGGGTCCCGAAGACCTGAGTTCCAACGCCGTGTGTCAGCAAAATTGCGAGAATACCATTGGATCCTTCCGTTGTAGCTGCGGTGAAGGCTATCATCTGCTCGAGGATCAGCGGAGCTGCGCCTTGGACAGCTGTTCCGATCTGGAGAATCCCCAGCTGAACCGCACTCGCTGTGCCCACAAATGCGAAGATCTACCGGAAGGAAGCTACCAGTGCACGTGTCCCAAGGGCTATGAGCTCGCCGAGGATCTGCGTTCCTGTTTGGTGCAGGAATCCCCTTGCTCCAAGGACAAGGGAGTCGAGAAGTGCTCGCCGGGAAGCTGTTTGGCCAGCGAGGACAACACCAGCTTCAGTTGCATCTGCCCAACTGGCTACCGCAGTGAGGTGTTCAGTTGCCAGGACATCGACGAGTGTGCCGAGGAGACGCACCTGTGCAGTCACAGCTGCCGGAATACCCCCGGTGGCTATGAGTGCCTGTGTCCCGAGGGACAGAGCCTGGTCGAGGAGTACACCTGCCTGGCCGAGAATCTCTGCGAGGTGAACAACAATGGCTGCGAACAGATCTGCCTGACCGCTCGAGGAGGAGCCTGCTCCTGTCGCGAGGGATTCCGCCTGAGCGCCGACGGCAAGAGCTGCGAGGATGTGGACGAGTGTCTGGTGAAGAACGGGGGCTGCCAGCAGGTGTGCCGCAATCTGCCAGGTTCGTATGGGTGCCTCTGTGCCGCGGGCTATGAGCTCCTCAAGCTGGATGGCCTGCGGGGCTATTGCTTCGACATCGACGAGTGCTCAAGGGGAACCCACGAGTGCAGCGATGAAAAGCTTTGCGAGAACCTCAATGGTTCGTACACCTGCCTCTGCCCACCCGGCTATGCCCTGGGTTTGGATAACCACATCGCCACCACCTCACCTAACACCTCATTCTCTCATGAATCCACCTCATTTGAACCTTCATCTTCATGCTTGGACATCGACGAGTGCTCGCTGGCCAATGGGAACTGCTCGCACTTTTGCCAAAACGAACCAGGTGGCTTTCAGTGCATCTGTCCCTTGGGCTACGCTCTCTCGCAGGATATGCGCACCTGCGAGGACATCGACGAGTGTAGCGATGAAAATGGCCAGTGCTCGCATCTCTGCTTGAATCAACCGGGGGGCTATGCCTGCGCTTGCGACGAGGGCTACGAGCTAACCTCCGATGGCTTCGGTTGCTCCGACATCGATGAGTGCTCCCGGGACTATGGAAACTGTAGCCACATCTGCATCAATCTTCTAGGTTCCCATGCCTGTGCCTGCGAAAGGGGATACGAGCTGGGCAAGGACAAGCAGAGCTGCCAGGATGTGAACGAGTGCGCGGGTCTCCTCTCCGGCGGCTGCTCCCACGAGTGCATCAACAAGGCGGGCACCTACGAATGCGGCTGCCCCTTGGGCTACGCCCTCAACGAGGACGGACGCACTTGTCGTCCCGCCCTGGTGGGTTGTCCACCGGGCACTCGGCGATCCTCCGAGGGCTGTACTCCCATCAAATGCGATGTGGGTTTCACTCTGGGATCGGACGACAAGTGTGCGGACATCGACGAGTGCCTGGTGAAGAACGGAGGATGCTCGCATCGCTGCTCGAATAGCGAGGGTTCCTTCAAGTGCAGCTGTCCGCCAGGCTATAAACTAGGTGATGATGATAGGACCTGCGAGGATATCGATGAGTGTGCTCCGGGCAAAACGAGTTGTGTCAGCGGAAAGTGCATAAACGAGATTGGTGGCTTCCGCTGCGAATTCCCCAAGTTCCCGGATCTCCCAGAGATTCCTTCAGTCTCGGAGTTGCCCAAATCGACTCAAACAGAATCAAGGAAACCCAAATATCCAGATTTTAACGAGTTGTCCAACCACATACCTGAAAAGCCAAAATATCCAGCTGTTGTGCCCATGCCAGAGATTCCAAGGCTTCCTCCCTCTCTTGATGGTATACTCAGAACCAAAACACCTGACTTTAAAATTCCTGAGCTGCCCAAGAGTCCGGAGGTTAATCCGATACAACCCAGGGATCTCTGTCCTCGATTCCAGGCGCCACGAAATGGCAGGTCGCACTGCAACAGGTATCGCCATAAGCAGAAGCACTTCTACAACAGTCGCTGCCGAATTACCTGCAATCCGGGATACGTTCGTCGGGGTCCGGAACTCAAAAGCTGTGGCGCCAATGGAATTTGGGAGGGTCCAGAGACCCGCTGCGTGGGTGAGTAAATAGTAAATTAAATCTTGTTCTGGATTTATATATTCCTTAACTCTTTTCAGCTATCAATCAACATCGTGCTCAGACTCCTGGAATCTGTCCTGCCCTCAAGCCCGCTCGCAATGGATTTATCCTACCGGCTAGCTGCACTCAACAACCATCCAGATTTGGAGACGTTTGCCAACTTACTTGCAATCCCGGCTTCGTTCCCACCGGATCCATGCTGGCCTCCTGCATGATGTGGCAGGGTTGGTCCTTCGGCACCGATCTCAATTGTCAGCCAATTGATAGATCTGTGTTCGGAAACAGTCTGTTCTCTACCCCGTGGAATTCTCCGATAAAAGTGGCACCGCCTCCAACGCAGCCACCTAAACCCTATATTAAATGTCCTGAGGATGTGGTGATCTTACTACATCCCGGTGAGCAGAAGGCTCACGTAACTCTTCAGAGACCGGAAACCAATATTAAGAATCCCCACTTGGTTGTCCATCCCTCGTGGGCGAGTGAGCTTGAAGGTCATTTGCCAGCTGGTGTTCATAAGGTCGACTTTAAAGTCTTCCATTCGAACGACCAAACAGTCGGATGTAGCACTACAATCACTGTTAAGCCTGCAGATACAAGTTCCCTTAGTTTTCCCTATCAAAGATCTTCCCTCCCCAGACCAGCTCCATTCGCCACCCTAGCCACTAGCAGTTCCTCTTCATTTTCACCATCTAGACCCTTTGAATCAGCTTCCTTTCCCACATTTTCAACACACAGTTCCATTCGACAGTCGCCATTTGGAAGTAGTAGTTCATCATTTGCTGGGTCATCAGTTCAGGCCAACCCAGAACCCCTTTCTCTGGAGTCAGCTCCCAAAACAGCCCCATTTAGCACATTTTCCAGCCACAGTTCACTTCGGCAACCCGAATTTTCTAGTTTTGACTCCGCAGATACTGCGCCATCATCTTACTCCAGTCTGGAACCCCTTCCGCAAAGATCAGCCAAGCTAATTAGCCCTGCTCCCACTCGTAGTGAAAGTACTCGAGTGGATTTGGGATCCGATACCACAAACTACTGCCCACCCTCCATTGAAGTCTATCTGAAGGAGCATCAGAACTTGCGATCGATTGTCTGGGATGAGCCGCGATTCGCGGGAAAACTCCTGAAGATCTACAAGTCACATGTAAGTTGGGTTGTCGTTTGGAATCCCTGAGACAGTTAAAAATTTATGATTACCATTTATAGTTCCCTGGTGCCTTGTTTAAAGCTGGAGATCACACAATCAAATACGAGGCCACCACCACCGATGGAAGAACTCTAAGCTGCACTTTCATTATCTATGTCAAACGTAAGTAAATAATACTTACAACTTACTTTTAATGAATGAATTATTTTATAATTTAATAATTTTATTTAAATAGATGCAAAGCCCAGTCCTCCACCTACCCAGCCAGAGATCAATTTTGACTCAGAACCCTTTGCTCTCCCTGAGGCTCCTGGGACCTATGTCATCTGCCCGGATAAGGAGCCAGTCCTTGTGACTTCTGATCAATCCGTAAGTCTGACTTACTTACTGCTTTTCTAAATCTTAATATGATATTTATTCTGAATTTGTAGGTTGAGCTGCCCGTTGGATGCACTTTAAAGAACGTGCGTCCGCAATCGAGTCCCCAGAAACAATTGAAACGAGGGAAACTCACTTCGCTGTGGCATCATTATACCAATTTCTGATGTCTGTAACTATTGTGTAAAATATATACACACGACTATCTGCTACGTTGTGTGTACTAATTGATGCGCAATTTATACAAATATTTTTGTACGACTTTTGTATGCTTACTTTAAATAAATACTTTTAAAATAATGTGGTCATTTGTTTAATATTTTAAAGATATTTACATTTAAATGAAAATAAATGGAAAAAAAGACACCATACCAGAAACATTTTTTGGTTGAATTGTTGAAGAATTAAATGAATGTATACCTTTTAAAGTACAGTAAACGATTTCTTCCCCCAGTAAAATCAGTTAATATACCTATAAGATTTGGATGTCTCTTCCTAAAGGGTATGCGATTTTCGATCTTCTTTTGCCACTTTCGCACTCCCAATATTGTGTGGTGTTCACTTTCAATTCAGCCAAGAATAATGGCAATTGTGAGACAGGTAAACAACGTACGGGCTGTCAGAGGGACGGCCTGCCAGACGGCTTCCCTGGCAATTTGTATGGGTCTTTGTCTTTGGCGACAGCTTCCTCAAACACGCTGTTGAACTTGGCGGAGATCGGCGCTGGGATTTGGATTGAGTTGGAGCTGGCAGCTCGGGGAGGAGCTGCTCCGTTTGGGGTCTATTGCACAAGGCGGCACTTGGCGGGTGTTTTGGGGACCACCTTGGGCATAAATTGTAATTATGCCTGCCACCGCGGCGGACAATAAATCTCAAAGTATTTATCGTGCAACATGACAGAAGTGGGTCGGACCTGAGAGCTTGAGCCCGAAACCCAAGCCCAAACCCAAAAATCCATGATATTTCCCTGCTCTTTATTTCCAACCTCTTTTTGCATACGACAAGCGAAAATAAAACATTTACAATATTTACCAGCTACAATAGCATTTTAAATGCAGTTATGACTAAATGCAAAAGTTATTTTGATGTTGAATGCCTTTGTGGGGGCTGTCGCTTAAAATTGTGCGCATAACTTGGAACATGAAAAGTTACTTAGAGTCGGAGTTTGCGGGGCCTTTAATTAAAAGCGACAGGTTTCGAGACATTTTACTTTGAGATCGTGTTGTTTGCTTTGATGCCGTTGTTGCATTCGAAGTTGCAGTTATTGTAATTACATATGGCGATGTCCAGAGCCCGAGAGCCGCACCCATATCGAAGACCGCTGACCCACATTTCGGGGCTCCACTTGGACTTTGAAGATGCAAATGGAACCGCATCGCATCGCATCGCCTGGCATCGCATCGCGATCGCAGACGGCGCCAAATTTATGTAATCAAAACCAACCCAAATGGATGCCATCGAATGAAATTGCCAGCTTGGACTTAGACTTATGCTGGGATTGGGATTGGGATTTGGATTCGAATTTGATGATGTCAGCGGCGGCAGAAGACAGAAGGCAGGAGCAAGCCAAGTCGGAGGCGGCAGCAACCCAAAACCCAGCCAAAAAGGTTATCAATATCCCAAGATCTTTTGTGTAAAAGTTGGCAAATTTCACTCGTAATGCAATCGCACGCAATGTGTCCACCTCTCGAAACTGAAAATAGCCAAAGTTGAGTGTTTGGCCAAAGGGAAAGCCACGGGCTGAGATGATTTCGAATCTTTAATTATAGCGGCGAGTATGTGTGGAGCATAAATCATATTGACACTTGGTCTTAATTAAAGGCAACCTACAAAGCCGAGTTCTAGTCGGGTTCGTTATTCCTTTTTTTTTTGTAGAAAAATCATAAATCAATGCGGTGAGCAAGCAAACTAATAAAATTCAATTTGTAATCAGAAACCTCTGCAACGCCCTGCAAAACGAGCTGGCAGACGAGGCTTCATTTCAATCAGCAACAGTTAGAACCCACAGAACTAAGAGAAGCATAGAATAGAGGGGGTCTCGCTTTTGACTTCCAAGAATGCAGCTGTTCTACGGCCGAGACTCCAGCTCCATCACCATCTCGAAAACCCATAAAAATGAACATGCCAGGCACTACAGCACAGGCTGTCAGAAAGCCAATGCCGCTGCTCCCCAGACGGCTACTCACCAAATCCGAATCCGAATCGGAAAACAACTATAAACACGATGAGAACAACGCGGACGGGCTGAGTGTTGGCTCTTTGGAGTGACGTTTTGGGCCTGGCTTTGGCAGACAGAAGAACAAAGTCGGCGCCGAAGTGCCCATGGGCCTAGAGACGGTCGAAATCGGAGCGTGAGAGTTATAGTTATGATCTCGTCTCGTGATTTTCGCCTGGGATCCCGAAAAGCACTTGTGCCTGCCAAAAGTGATCGTTCTGGGTCAGTCGAAGGGTACCGAAAAGTGGGTGAATGCCAAATTGAAATTGATACATATATTTAGACAGTTAAATTTAGCACTGAAGTGTTCTAGGAAAAGTGAAGCCATGGGTTCTTGAAAGGGGACTTACATTACTAAAAAATAAACATTGTAAAAAAATAAAAAAAATAAATTTAATTATCATTTTATTATTGCAGAAATATATGAATAAACATAAATTTTAAAAATCAAATAGGAAAACATTTGCTATAATTTAATAAATATAACATAATTAAAAAAATGAAGCAAAATTAAAGAATAAATAGTTTTAGAAGAAGCTTCGATTTAATTTTAATGTGGGATACAATTCTTCCTAGTTTGATATTATAGATTGAACCGAACTTGACCGATATTTGATCTCCTTAAAGCCAGTTCCGCTCCCAACTTTTTGAATTGATTCCCATCCAAATTCAAATCCGGAGCTTGTCAGTCGGCCATCTCTAGCCGCTGGCTTTTGGGGTCCATGACGAGCTTCATTCCAATTCATTTCGGCCGGTTCCATTTGGCTGTTTGGCCCGCTTTGTTTGCGCCGTTAACCTTGGGGGCACAGCAGCCGACCGCGACCGTCAAGAAGAGCAAAAAACAAAACAAAAAAACACAAAAACAGGCGCAAAAAATTGGCAAAGAAATGGAATACGAAATACCTGGCGTAAAGAAGAAGATTTGCATGCCACCTGAGTGGGTGGTTGGGGGGAAGTGGAGTGCCAGAGTGATTGACATGGCTCAAGTTGGCTTTTCTTTTTCAATTTGCCAAAGCGAACCGCAGTGCCATTTGTGGGTCAGGGTCAGGATGGCAAATGTCAAAGCGACCGCAGATGCACACATGGCCCAGGCATTTCCCCACCAGGTAACTACATATGTAATTGCTTACGCACGCGACCATCGAACGCGTTGGATTGCCATTGCCGTGCCGCCGTATCCACATCCATTCCACATCCACTTTCTTTACAATTTATTTTGGTTTATGTATTTATCGCTTCTCGCTAATCTCGCAATGCGGCAGCCACCGGCAATCAGCGACGGTGACAGTTGGGGCAACTCCCACAAAAAGCCAAGCCCAAGGAGCAAAAAAGCAGCGCTATGGCCACAAAAGTCGCCTTGCGTTCCGTCGCATGATTTATGGCGCGTAATTTGCGTGCGCATGCGCAAATTGCGCCATAACCTTTTGCTTTTGCAGCACTGGCATGGCTTTCCTCGATTCCAGCAGCTTCCTGCTGACAAATGAGCCGCCTCCCAATCAGTTTAACCCACTGAAGTTGGGTTCTTGGTGGCGAGAAAGAAAGTTCTACTGAAGAACTCTGAAATATGTGACTTTTTAGGATGCATATTTGTACTTTGGCCTAGTTTAAGTTAAAGCTAAACCACAAAAATGCTGGACAAAGAAAGAGATTACCTGTCTGTTAATGCCTGTCACAGGTGTGGGTATTTTGTAAAAAAAATAGTCTTGCTGTAATGGATAGTATTTTTTAGAAATATTCTTTCAAAGAGAAAATCTTAGTAGCAACCTAAAAGATTATTACTATATTTTTGAAACTGGTAAAAAATCTTATTATTATCTTACAAAACTATTTAAGTTTATTATTATCATATAGAACCTTTTACGTAACATTTCTAGTATTAAATGGTATTTGTTTGTCCAATGAGTACTACTGATATTTTAAATATTATACCTACATCAACTCTATCAACTCTGAGCTCCAGTATTTTTCTATGATTAATCTGTAAAAAGTTGAAAACGCCTTTAAATTTGTAGACATTTCCCACATTTGTGTGTGTCACATTCAATGGGTTAATAGTGCCGCAGTGAAAGAGTTGAAAAGTGTGTCACTTGCATTCTTTCGGGTTTGTCTCGAATTACTCGACTTGCAACCGGCCATCGATAACTGAATTTGAGGGAATGGGATTCCGGGGAATGGGAATCGGCCGACTGATTTATAATTTCATTGAACTATTACCGGAGCGACAGTGTTCGGGGGGACAGCGCTCGCCAAATTGATTAACAATCAAAATAAATCAATACACAGCCTCGGAGCGAGAAACGTCAAAAATCGCAACGAGCAAATTGCAATTGCAACACTTTCGCTGTAGATTTTGTTTTTCACACTTGATTTACATTTTAAATTGAAAAGGCTAACCAAAGCCGAAACCCAAAACCGAGCCGAAAAACGAGCGCTGAAAACTGAAACCCAAGGCGGGGAGAAAAAAAAGGAAAAAGCAAGAAAAATATAAGAAATACGAAATTTCCAGCCGGCGGGCATGAAAAGTGCAAGACGAATTGGGCGACATTGTCAGGCGGCGGGCAGAGTTGAGATTGTTGCCTGGATTTGGGGCATGTGCAGGCCACTAACGCCCGTCCACGAACCAAAAATCCAAAATCCCGTCCCAGACGTGGCAGAAGACGAAGACGAAGACCCCAACCCCGGGGTCTAGACGGTGAAGCCCCAAGACCACCTGATACCACCATGATAAAGAGATCAATGGCAGAGACGACCACTTCGCACAGGTGAAATGTCAATTTGCCGCACAGCCGAACCACGTAACTCAAGTCTTAATCGTCCACGCCATAATGCTGTTAAGCCGTCTAATTGAAGTTTCACTTTTCCCTGACTGCCTGACTGCCTGACCTCTGTGCAGATACATTAATTATCTGTAATGAACGTTTACACTTATTTATTGGCATTAAATCATCGTTTAACGCGCTTTAAGCATGCACTCTTCGCCGGTCCAGAGGTTTACTCTGTTCGGTTCCGTTTTTCCTCGAACGGCCTTCGAATGCGTCTGCCTGTTGCGATACGATCCAGAGAGATATATACAAATATATAATGC